GGCCACCTCCGGGCCTGAGGGACCCCCCCGGCACGGCCTGGACATGCGGCCCCGTGGGGACGGGGCTGGGGACAGCGGGGACACCGCCCCTGGTGGCACCGGGACATCCTGCGGTGACATCACCCATGGTGGCACTGGGACTTCCTGTGGTGACATCACCCCTGGTGGCACCGGGACTTCCTTTGGTGACAGCACCCATGGTGGTGGCACCTGCAACAGGGGCGTCTCCAATGGTGGTGGCATCTCCCATGGCATCACCTCCCACGGTGGCATCTCCAATGGTGGTGGCATCTCCCACCGTGGCATCTCCAGGAGTGGTGGCATCTCCCATGGCATCACCTCCCATGGTGGCACCTCCCATGGTGGTGGCATCATCTCCCGTGGTGACATTTCCTACAGTGACATCTCCAAGAGTGGTGGCACCTTCCACGGCATCACCTCCCATGGCATCACCTCCCACGGTGGCATCTCTAATGTTGGTGGCATCTCCCACAGTGGTGGCATCATCTCCTGTGGTGACATTTCCTACAGTGACATTTCCAAGAGTGGTGGCATCTCCCTTGGTGGCATCTCCCATGGCATCACCTCCCTTGGTGGCATCTCCCTTGGTGGCATCTCCAAGAATGGTGGCATCTCCCATGGCATCACTTCCCATGGTGGCACCTCCCACGGTGGCATCTCCCATGGTGGTGGCACCTTCCGCAGTGACATTTCCCACGGTGACATTTCCCACGGTGACACCTCCAGCTGTGGTGGCATTTCCTACGGTGGCACCTCCCACAGGGACCTTTCCCACAGTGGTGGCACCTCCCATGGCGTCGTCTCCCACGGTGGCATCTCCTCTCATGGTGACTCTTCTTCTGGTGGCTTCTGCCATGGTGGCATCTCCCGGCACGGTGACAGCTCCCACGGTGGTGACGTCTCTGGTGGTGACAATTCCCACAGTGACCACCCCCATGTTGGTGGCTCTGCTCATGGCATCATCTCTCGTGGTGGCATCTCCCACGGTGGCACCTGCAGAGGTGACATCTCCCACGGTGACGTTTCTCACGGTGATGGCACTTCCCATGGTGGTGGCTCCTCTCACGGCTTCATCTCCCACGGTGACATCTCCGACAGCGGTGGCATCTCCAGTGGTGGTGACACCTCTTGTGCCGCCACCTCCCATGGTGACATCTCCAAAAGTGTCACTTCCCATGGTGGCACCTCCAGTGGTGGCGTCTCCCAGGGTGACATCAGCCACAATGACGTTTTCCACGGTGGTGGCACCTCTCATGTCATGACCCACCATGACGGCACCTCCCATGGTGGTGACATCTCCAACAGTGACATCTTCAATGGTGACGTCTCCAACAAGGACATCTCCCACTGTGGTGGCATCTCCAATGGTGGCATCTCCAACAAGGACATCTCCCACTGTGGTGGCATCTCCAATGGTGGCATCTCCAACAAGGACATCTCCCACTGTGGT